TTACGCTTTATCCAAGGTATCCATTGCTTCAAATTCAAATTGAATTTCCTTCCATACTTCGCAAGCAGCAGCTAATTCCGGACTCCATTTGCCAGCCTCACGAAGAATTTCATTACCCTCACGAGCAAGATCACGTCCCTCATTACGAGCTTGTACACATGCTTCTAGAGCAACTCGATTAGCTACAGCACCAGGTGCATTTCCCCAAGGATGCCCTAAAGTTCCTCCACCGAATTGTAGTACGGAATCATCTCCAAAGATCTCGGTCAGAGCAGGCATATGCCAAACGTGAATACCCCCGGAAGCCACAGGCAGAACACCCGGTAGAGAGACCCAATCTTGAGTGAAATAAATACCGCGGCTTCGATCTTTTTCAACAAAATCATCACGCAGTAAATCAACAAAACCTAAAGTAATCTCTCGTTCCCCCTCAAGTTTACCTACTACGGTCCCAGAGTGAATATGATCCCCACCAGACATACGTAACGCTTTAGCTAGTACACGAAAGTGTATACCATGATTCTTTTGTCTATCAATAACTGCATGCATTGCGCGGTGGATGTGAAGAAGTAACCCATTATCTCGACAATAATGAGCCAAGCTAGTATTTGCAGTGAATCCCCCTGTTAAGTAGTCATGCATTACGATAGGAACTCCTAATTCTCTGGCAAATACAGCCCTTTTCATCATTTCTTCGCATGTACCCGCAGTTGCATTCAAATAATGACCTTTGATTTCACCTGTTTCAGCCTGTGCTTTATAAATGGCTTCGGCACAAAATAAGAATCGATCCCTCCATCGCATAAATGGTTGGGAGTTCACGTTCTCATCATTTTTGGTAAAATCAAGGCCACCGCGCAGACATTCATAAACTGCTCTACCGTAATTCTTAGCGGATAACCCCAATTTAGGTTTAATAGTACAACCTAATAGGGGACGGCCATACTTTATAATTCTTACTGGCTCGCTCTCCATAATCCTACTATCAGGCAGGCGCTTTCTTTGGATTACTCGAACTCGAAGCAAAAAAGAAGGACTGAAACTCGCAAAGACAGCTTAATACTTCTTTTCTGAAAAGGCTAAAAAGAGAAGGGCACTGACCTATCATTCTTATTCTCTTGGTATTGACCCTGAAAGGGAGTTTGTGAGGCGACAGAATGATGGTATACAAAAACTAACTTCTCGTGTAACCAACATAGACTGCTTTTCTCTTCCGTCAAAGCCCTTAGGCAATGAAGTCGAAGTACAGAAGTGAGAGCGTTTCTCTCCCTTATTAGTGACGTCTCTAAAGCTATTGAAGAGGAACCTTTCAGGTGTACTAACATAAGCATATGACCCTGCATAATTCATCGTTGACGCTTCCCGTTTTATTAGACTATAACGTCAGTCTTCCTTAGCAGAATAGAGAGTGTAAACATAACTTTTTAGATTATTACCCTCTTTTGAGTGCTAAGGACATGACGCCTCCCCCTGGGAAGACCACTACTGAGACTGGAACTCAAAGGCCTACAACGGTAACTTCAACTCCAGGTAAGGCGGAAGTAGTACTTTCTACGCTATTGGGATACCAAAAGGTATACCTTTCATCTACCCTGGAATCCGATCTTTATTTATTTATTTTCAGAGGGGCAAAAAAGCTTGGTGAATGATGATTGACGTTCCAACAATGAGCGGGAAACCCGTGGTTCGGGAAGAAGACCTGAGGATAAATATCTTGGAAAAAGCATACGCTCTATTTCACCAGAAAGAGAAAGTTACTGCGTTCATCGGCAGGGTATAAAAACATCCTCGTCGATCGGGGGCTTGAAATGAAAGTCTTTTACTACCACCTGCAGATAGGAAGGAAAGAGTGATTGCAGATGATCCCGACTACCAGAAGCCTTTATTAATTAAGAGCGACAGGCGTCAGCTTTGGAGGCAGGGCAGAGAGTGGGAAGTCGTAGGAATCTATATAATTAAAAAGCTCATAGATGCGCACGAGCAATAGGATTTCGTTGTTAGAACGTGGAGGGCAGCCGACAACGCCTAGTCCAGAAGCTGCGACGTATCGGTTAGGAAATTCTGTCTCGTAAAGGGGCCGAAATCCAAAGCCCCGCAGCCTACCCGTAATTGCACTATGGAAGCAGGTCCGTCTTGATGCTCATCCAGGATGCAGAGTAGGGGCAAGGAAAGAAAAGATTATAGGGAGTAAGCCCGTGGCGGCGTGAAAACACGTGCGCACGCGCGGGTTTGTTTAGTTGCTTAAGCGGAAAGAATATACCCTCAAGCTCCATAAGCAGGACTTAAGAGGTAGTTGCTTACTACTACCCTTAAGAGTCAGAGTTAGTCGACTTACTGATACGCTTAAGAGCGTCTCAATCGAAAAGAACCGTAGGAAGTCACGCCAACCAACGGACTTCACGACCTTACTCAATGCGCACAACTACTGCCATACCAGACAAACAAGACGTATATCACCCAAACGTTAAACCGCGTGAGGCAACGACCTCGTCAGAGACCCGACTGGGGAAACTGGGAAGGGAACCACTCATCGTCATGCGAGAACTCTCAAACGATCGGAAAGGCCTCATATCGAGCTTGTAACGAACGTTTTTCTTCTTTAGAGTGAGAGGATTCCCGTCTTTCTCTCTCTTTTTTCTCATAACGGGAAGGCGAACAAAAATACAAGAAAGATCGGCACACCGCCTGGTACCAAACCTAAAGAAGGAGCGAGACTTGAAAACTTTCAGAGCGGCAAACAAGACAGATATTCTCTGCATCTATGCAAGACGCAGTTGCTACTGCGCATTACTCACGACGTGGATGAGAACAACAACTGTCCCCTTATAGTGTAGTGGATCGCGGGCTTTTCGGCTTGAAGTTCTGTAATCGATGAAGTCCTGTCATGAAAAGAGGAAGTGTAACCTAACACAGAGACTTGTTGCGCACTTATTGAGTCGCTGCTCAAATTTCTTGTGTGTGTGGTGTGTGACCTAAACTGCATCAAAACGATCGTTCGCAGCGCATTTTTCAGCCAGCCTTTGAGAACGTTTTTTTCTCCTGTCTCATTTTTCCGGTTTTCTTTAAGTATTGGACTTTTCTTTCGATTATTCCGTTTAAGTCTTTCTCGGGGTCCGCCTTGGGTTCGGGTTTGTCTGCTTTGGTGAAGGTTCGCAATCCTTCTCTTATTCTTTGTTTGTGGTTCTATGTGAAATCGTTAATCTCTTTCCGTCTATGCGTCCGATTCCTTTCGCAAAAAAGAAAGAAAGGAAGAAGGAGCTCTTAAGTCAGATGTGGCATTAGATTTCAAAAAGGTTCTTCTCGAAGTGGTCATTAGTTTTACAAGGAACTTATTGCCTCAAGGCAAAGAGTCCGTTCATGGTGAAAGGAAGGAGTTACTTCATACTTTCCAAATGCATGTCATATGGATTTAGTTTTCATTATGGTAAATCCTTCCCGATACAGAAAAATGTAAATGTCTCCTACTAGAACTTGCATTTTCCGCTCTCCAATTTTTCATCTTTTTCATCTCACAGTGCAGCCCAAAGGGTTCCCACAGTGAAAATTCTGTACGCATGACATTGCTCGATTCTTCATCTGCCTCTAAATAAACCCTGTCGGGATCAATAATAGAGTATGCGTGTAGGGTTGGAATCCGATCCATCAACAGCTCTATAAGCCATAAACAATGCGTCTATTGTATCAAAAATAGCCTGGCAAAGGAGGTTGACTGAAGCTTTAAAAAGCATGAGAGAGCCCATACAATTAGTTTACCTCGTGAAAGTGCCTTCCCTTAGCGCACCTACTTTCCTTCTCCTTGCTTTAGTGCTCGAATCCCCAGAGCATTGAAATAATAGAAAGATTGTTACCAATTCCTATCTCACCAGCAAGTCCAACAACAGATAGAGTGAGGTTCCCCTGTGATAGATAGGTAGTAGGCGGAAAGGAAATGCTACTTCTTTTATTCCGGGACAAAGATCTCCTTTCCAACCTTAATCCTAGCCTGCGGCATATCGCTGGACAAACTTCGCTTGCCTCATTTCTGGATCGAGTAAGGGCAGTAGGTGAAAGCATGACGAAGAAATTCTTCTTTAAATAAATATGAGCAGGAAAGTGGAAGTTTATATTGCTGAAGTTCAGGCCTATCTTTCATCTCTCATAAAGCAGGAAGGAAGAGCACATCACGCTCTCCTTTATATTTGATATAAGCGTCTATCAGACATCAGTGAACTGAAGCATTTCGCTAAGCCTTAGGCGAGCTCATTTTACAGAAAGAGATGAGGCAGCTAGTTGGCCTTTTACTTTTATTTAGATGGAATCAACGGGGTGAAAGGACCTTTCAGTGGCCTCGTTAAGCCCAGTTATCGGCTGTTCAGCCGCTTCTGAACCCTTACGTGCTTGGTTGAAAATCTTTCTTGCTCTTTATTATCTGTTAGCAGATTAAGCCAAAAAAGATGGAAAAATGAGACTTTTTTCACAACGGGAAGTGAAGAGGGAATGCTAATGGTAGGAATGCAGTCTCGGTCGGTGCATGCCAAGCTTACTCACACCATGGGCGCGTTGCTTTAGAGAAGATGATTCCCTATTCTCCTGTTTTAGACAGTAGGCAGAGCCAAGGCAGTGAGCTCGGTTCAGTTCCTTTTCTAAGTCTTATTCCAGCGGATGAAGTAAGGCTAACAGCTATTTGACATGAAGTACAGTAAAGCATTTCGTTTCGAAAAAGTTTATATAGAATATAAAGCAGACCTTTGAGGCGAAGAAAGAAGGAAGCGAGAACGTCTGCTCCTTATTGACGCGAAAGTTCCTCGAGGATAGGAGAACTTCCCCTGTATGAAGGAAGTCGGGAAGTGCCGCCTACTTCATCCCTCTCCTTTCAGTCGAAAAACTTCGTCCCTTTCCACGTCAACTTTCAAGGTAGCATTTATGGAGTCACCTATAGCTATAGAGAGTAAACCAACGAAAGCCGCCAAAGAATAAAGAGTCACTGTCATTGTTCCTGGCTTGAAAACAAAGGTGTTTGTTGAAGTAGAAAAAAAACAAAAGACAGAGCCAAACAGATCAATGTCTGATTGGTATTTGATAGATTGCGGTCGATAAGGTTAGTGAATTAGGTAGAGGTACGGAAAGAGAGGGATTCGAACCCTCGGTAAACAAAAGCCTACATAGCAGTTCCAATGCTACGCCTTAAACCACTCGGCCATCTCTCCTACATAATCTTATGATTATGATCATAAAGTCCATCGGATCTTCTTTCTTTATCGAATGACGGTCAGAGAGAATCCATATCAATAGTCGACAGCACACTCACGCCAGAAGGGCATGCCCCGCTAGCCAATAAAGAGGGTCTTTGCCCCGGCTCTTCGGCATCTGCCTATCTTTCAGGTTCTTATGGCCGAAGGACTTAGCTTCAAGTAGGCTATCTTTCTGTCTTTCCTGGTTGTTCTTCCTGGGGTGTCCTAAAAAAAAATGTATGTCTCATGAGTTGACGGTCAAGATTCTATAAGTGAGTTTCCAAGCCAGCAGATGCAATCCTTCAGGCAAGCTCGAATGCCATATTCTCAGTAGTGAAATAGAGTGAGACGAATATCTTTTCCTCGTGTACGGACTCTTACCTAATCCTGGAATTTCCTTGCGTTTCTGCCATAGAATCCTTTCTCGCGGGTAGGGTTCACGATATTGGGAGAGGTATATGAATAGAGAACCCTACTCTTCGCTCTATCTAATACCGGAAAGGAGTACGAGTGAACCCGAATTTGCGTATATAATGATTACTAAAATGTGGAGTTTGATACACGCAGCAGTCACACCACAACGACGTTTCTGGTTGTTAGTCTCAATGGCCGCTGGTTAGGGGCGAGTTACTGTCCCCTTTCTTTTTCCCATGATTTTTTTGAGCAAGAACTCAATTTCATTTTCTTTTGTTTTTTTCAAATTGTACAGGAAGGACTCTCTTTCTGTAGGTAAGAATTTTTTATCAATGCAAAAGAAATGAATGCTCTTTTTCGCAAAGGGTTCTTCCTCACAATCTCTCCTTGTGATGCAGCAGAACCATGGCAATTAGGATCTCAAGATGCAGCAACACCTATGATGCAAGGAATCATCGACTTACATCACGATATCTTTTTCTTCCTTATTCTGATTTTGGTTTTCGTATTATGGATCTTGGTACGCGCGTTATGGCATTTCCACTATCAAAAAAATCCAATCCCACAAAGGATTGTTCATGGAACTACTATCGAAATTCTTCGGACCATCTTTCCGTCTATCATCCTTATGTTCATTGCTATACCATCATTTGCTCTCTTATACTCAATGGACGAGGTAGTAGTAGATCCAGCCATTACTATCAAAGCTATTGGACATCAATGGTATCGGACTTATGAGTATTCAGACTATAACAGTTCCGATGAACAGTCACTCACTTTTGACAGTTATACGATTCCAGAAGATGATCTAGAATTGGGTCAATCACGTTTATTAGAAGTGGACAATAGAGTGGTTGTACCAGCTAAAACTCATCTACGTATTATTGTAACATCTGCTGATGTACCTCATAGTTGGGCTGTACCTTCCTTAGGTGTCAAATGTGATGCTGTACCTGGTCGTTTAAATCAGATCTCTATTTTGGTACAACGAGAAGGAGTTTACTATGGTCAGTGCAGTGAGATTTGTGGAACGAATCATGCCTTTATGCCTATCGTAATAGAATCGGTGGCGAAAAAAGATTATGCTTCTCGGGTAGCCAATCAATTAAGCCCCCAACCCGGCGGTACTTGGGTGAGGGCTAACGAGCCAAAATACAAGGAGCTCTTTACCCTTGTGATAGGGTACGTTGGGCGGCTAGGGTGCGCTCAAATTGCCCATTGCGATTCTTTCAACGCTTTCTCTCCCCCACAGAGTCCCGTGCAATTGCCGGGACCGGTTGTTCCACCCGAAGCAGCGCCGGTACCTCAACCGGTGGTGGTAATTCCCCAATTACCCCATCCTCTTATCGAGGATGCGGAAAGAAGTATCCTTCTTTATAGAAGGTATTGTTTCCTTAATTGGGGGAATTTCGGGGGGAATAGGGAACTAGAAAGAATGGTGGCAATACTTGACGCACAACTAATAGTTGAACGTCAGGTAGAAGCGGCTTTGGTGGACGATGGATATACTCCCGATTCTATTATTTCTCGATTTCGAGAAATAAGGGGGTATATTCACAGCCCGCACGGGCGCCTCTTAGCTCCAACAACCTACGAGTCCTACGTGACTCAGATAAGGGAACGCGGAACCCGAGAAAGCGTTCCCTATCGCCGGGTTATTAGAGCAATCCAAAGGTATGATATACTTTTGGAAGGAAATCACAGAAGATAAACCTTGTGATGTGATTTCCTTCGGTCGAGCGTTCTTCGGGCGTCGACTTTAAAAAGACGGCTAGTCCCCGAAAATGCCGTTTTTTTTGGGGTGGGGTTGGTTGGGGAAAAAAACTCATACTAAAAACTCATACATACAAGAGGGGGCAGTAGGAATAGGAGCGAAATGCTTAAAGAAAAAAAGGAAAAAAGAGGGTCGAAGCGGTTCTAAGCACATATGGCGCAAAAAGGAAATCCGATTTCGGTAAGATTGGATCTTAATCGTAGTTCAGATTCAAGTCGGTTCAGTGAGGGCGACCGCGAAAGTCACCGAATGGGTCAGTCTTTTCCTTCACTTTGTCCTTTATTAAAAAAAGGATGTGAGGACGTTGCAGATGTCCGGGACGGACACGACTTCTTCTAAGGCGTTAAGACCACAGGAATACACGCAGGACCAGAGCATGTCGTGAAAGAAGCACATTGGGCGGGCGTGCTTCGACCGTGTCTCCGGAGCACAGTTGAATGTAGATATCATGAACGCGAGGTGCAGGATACCAGGCCGAGAAACCCGGGCAACCATCCCCCTATGTACCGATCGCTAGCGCATCCAGGGCCCCGGTGCCCAGCTCAGCTGGAGAGGCCTAGCCTGATCTAAAAAGTGCGTCTTCGGTTCGGATAGACTTTTTTTCAAGAACGCCGCCGACCTTTTTCTCAATAATAAAACAAGTTCTAAGTTTCAGATCTGTGAATAAACCGAAACGAAAGAAAAGACGTTTCTCGCTCGCGCCTAAAGCGCACTATACTCCGCTTCAACAAATGAGAGTTTTTGGTGGAACCGGTGAACCACGCGAGCTGGTTAGATGCGTGGGACAGAGGGCTTATAGTACAAAGCACGCGGCTATGCAGTGGAAGGGAAGGAGCCTAAAAAGACCCCTTCTTTCTTTTTTTAAAGAAAAAAAGCAGTACAAAGAGATTAGACTCTCGGATGAGAAACAGAAGCCACCGACCGTTCCGACGCGCCCCTGACCTATCTTGATTAAGAACGAAAACCTATCTAAAATGGAGCCTTGACTTTCTATTATATTAGTAAAGGCGCGTTAGCCTTATAGTAAGGGCCTTTTTTCTTGCTCGTTAGCGCTGACGTTTGATTGATTGACGTTTAGGCTTAGCTTACAGCACAGCGTGTTCGCCATCACACTGGCTGGTGCATTGGCTTTACCGTAAGAGGGCGTTGTACGAAACCAAACCGCCCCCCCCCCGCCCGATCAAGTACCAGTTGCTTTACTGGTAGGCCCACTTAGGTTAGGGGGCATTGTCCCTCAGTTTTTACCAACCTCCGGGTGTGTAATCGACATGTTGCTAGCTTCAACTCGGTTGAATAAGAATAATTGAGTTGACCACCTGAGCGAACCGACCGAAGGGACTTTACTTACCCGAACCGAACGATAGCGGCTTAAAGCTAAGCCTATCACGAGCAGCGTCGCTGCTTGATCGGCGGGGAGGCTCAAAGTATGGGGCAAAAGATCAAGCGCTTTTATTTTCTCTCCCGTAATCCACCACAAGTTGGGTTTGAGTAAGAGCCGTGTGATGGGTGACTATCCAGCACGGTTCGGAGAGCACTTGTTGTCTGCGTTGGTGAATGGAACCCTATCAAGCAAGAAAGAAGCGGCTTTTTCCACGGCGGAGTCACCATTGACTCTATTTATTATTATGGTAAATCCGTGTATCAAGATGTCAATCTGAGATCTTATTTCGGTTCGATACGTCCACCTACGAGACTCACCTTTGGCTTTCGTCTCGGTAGGTGTATTATTCTACATTTTCCCAAAATAACATTCATTAATTTATTTCTTCCCGAAGACCACGACGACTGAAACGACGCAAAAAAACCAGATCCGGAAAGGAGAAGGAAAACGAAATAAGGATTTGGCCGAAAAAGAAGCAATGCTATGGATACCATGAGCGATCACGATCGATAAAGAAGAATCTTTCTAATTCAGTTCGGGTCAGCGGGGCCTTCAAGCATCCGAAATACGCCGGGGTTGTAAATGACATAGCGTTCCTGAAAGAAAATGACAATTCCTGCAGAAAAACTTCGTTTTTCAAGTTCTTTTTCCAAAAGAAGTCCCGCTCCAACGGCCCGACGAGTCATCTACTTAAAAGGATCCTCCCTGCAGTGCGCTTCTCTTTGAATTTTTCGGTCATGCAATATTTTTTTGAATACAAAGAACCAAATTCATTTCGACCCCGTCGGAGTTCTCAATCATTTCGTGGCACGGGGTGTGGCTGAACCATCTACGATGGGGGGAGCGAATGCACAAGGAATAAGCTTAGATAAGAGAATACGTTCTCGCATCGCTTTTTTTGTAGAAAGCTCGACCAGCGAGAAAAAGTGTTTGGCCGAAGCCAAAAAGAAAAATAGGTTGACTCACTTCATTCGCCAAGCGAATGATCTTCGCTTCGCGGGAACAACAAAAAACACCCTCTCGCTCTTTCCTTTCTTCGGTGCTACCTTTTTCTTTCCAAGGGATGGGGTTGGGATATATAAGAACCTTCTTTTTGAGGATGCTCGGGAACAAGTCTTAGGTAAATTAAGGAAAAAATGTTGGAAGTTTATGGGTAAAGAGAAAGTCAGGGAATTGATAGAGAAATTGTTAGACCTAGGTGGGATAGGAGAATTAATAAAGGGAATAGAGATGATGATAGAGATCATACTGAGAAACAGAAGAATTGCGTACAGGTACAACTCTTATTTGAACGAAATGAAAAAAATGCGATCTTTGTTGTCTAATAGAACAAACACTAATACCTTAATTGAGTCAGTCAAGATTCAATCTGTTTATCAAAGTGCTTCCCCGATTGCTCAAGACATCTCTTTTCAACTGAGAAAGAAAAGAAGATCATTTCGTTCCATTTTTAGTAAAATAGTGAAGGATATTCCATTAGTAATGAAAAAAGGGGTGGAGGGGATCCGTATATGTTGTTCAGGTCGATCAAAAGGCGCAAAAATAGCTAGAACTGAATGCGGAAACTATGGAAAAACATCTCGTAATGTTTTTAACCAGAAAATAGATTATGCTCCTGCGGAAGTATCTACTCGTTACGGAATCTCAGGTGTCAAAGTGTGGATTTCATATATTTCATATAGTCAAAAAAGGGGGGGAAAAGTAGAAAGAAAAGAGAAAGAATGCTCTTTTTCATTAAAAAATTATTTTTTCGATTTGTTCGCAGGGGAATTTGCTATTTGAGTTTTGTTATATTTTTGAATGCTGTTGATTTACTGAATGGGAAACCCTATTTTGGCTTAACGTTGATTCTTTCTTTTTTTCTCTCTGCAATGGAGAGTCCCCCTATGTCTGTTGGGGGCGGAAAGAATACCGCTATGAACCAGCCGGATGCCGGCGATGAGGAACCACAAAGCAAAGAAGAAGAAATTCACTGTTATAGAGAGAGAGGCAAGGCAGAATAAGCGATGTTGGAGGCAGGGCTCCATCAGAAGCTCATACCCGTATAAAGGGCTAACAAGGGATAAGCATTCACCAACAAAGACCCACAACTCTGACTTTGACAGCGCTTACGCATGAAGGACGCTTTCTAACTCTCACACCGGTTACGAAAGCAAGGGATATCAGCGGAAAGGGCAGCTTTTAGGCCATTCTCTGACGCTGCTGCAGTAGCAGGCACATATCGATTTTAGAATAAGATTTTTTCCTTGTTTAATGCTTTTTTTTTTACCAAGAGAAAGAGATGTAAGGCCGGGAGTCGAACCCAGGAAAAACGGTAGCATGGTGATGGGCATCACATTTAGGGCAGCACCGTTATCCACAAGTACTCTTGAAACTGGGCAACCGTCTATGTGCACAGTGATGTACAAGGGGGTTGAGGTGGTTGTTTCTTACTTGGCTTCTCAAAAACAAGATTTTCAGACTGAACGGGCTCTGGGTTCTTATCTGGTTGCTCTTATAAAGTAACAGTTCTTTGGTGCGCCCTGCCAGGCTTGGTTCTACGGTCTTAGCAGCAGCTTCTTGTGCTTGCTCTTCAAAAAGTCGAGCCTTGCCTGAAAGAGAAAAGGAAAGACCAGATACCTTTCAAATGGAACAGAATCTGGAAACAAAACCCTCCGCACTACTATACTATAAGGATCCCGATTCATATGTTGATTTTTATGTCTCAGTGCCCGCCTCTTCAAATCGCCACTTCTTCAGCTAATCCGTCGAGACAGGAATGAAAGTAGCATACTTGGTAAACCTGTCAACCACCACAAGAAAAGTGCCATACCTCTCGGACTTTGGCAAAGACGTAATTAAGTCCGTTGAGACACTGTCCCAAGGCCTCTCTTGAATAGGAAGGGGCTCTAACAGCCCTACAGGTTGCTTTTGCTCAATCGTCGTCTTGTTGGCAAACAAGACAGCACATATGACTCCACATCATCCCGAAATTTTGGCCAGTAGTGTAGTAGCTATCCCCCACTAAGGCCAAAGTTCTGTGAGCTCCCGGATGTCCTGCCCATTTTGAGTCGTAACACTCCTTCATTCTTTCCTTACTTCGGTCGCTAGCTAGGCGATAGCTATGTTAGACCGACAGCCTATCCGGGAAAAGGAACTCACTATAGGGCTGGTAGCAATGCAATGGAATTGGTGGGTGTTATCTAGCTATCCACGGCCGGAGTTTGAAGCACTTGGCTGTCCCCACTCAAACCCGTCCATTGCCCTGGATCCGGAGATTCAGGGTCTTCGTAGGCTTCGTCTGTATCTTTAGATTCGGAAAATGGAAACTCTTCTAAAGGTACGGATGAGGCTGACGCCGCTGCTGCTTTTGATGCGGAAAATTATTCTTCATATAATATGGCGGATGAAAGAGCGCAGGATTCGGTAGGTGAGTCAACGTATTCGGATGACCTATATCCCCAATGTGTCATTTTTTAATGAAAAAGCCCCTTCCTTTCAAGGAAAAAAAAAGGCTGATATTCAGCCAACAAGTTTCTTCCTTCCCAGGAACTGAGTCCTACCGGGTCAGCTACGAATGCTTCTATATACTAATCCTATCTTTTTTTTCATATGCTTCCTTTTATGGTTCAGCTTCGGGAAAAATAAGAGTTGTTGGGTCGGGAACTATTAGTTTGGTAGAAAGAAGGTATGTCGGTTTGGCTGAGACTGAAGATTTGGCTTTGCACGATGTGAATGGGATTCAGATGGAGATTCTGATGCGTCTGCCTATGGGAAGGAATGCAGATAGAGATGCGTCATGCTAAGGCGATTTGGATGGGGGGATACCCATTCTGGGGCTGAGGCTGCGTCTTCAGAGTATGTGCCATCTCACTACACACAAACCCAACCTATCACTTTCATTTGAATTCCAAGGACCTAAACGCGTTCGCCCTTCTCGTTGGGCGTGTTCGGGTCACGACGGTAGGGTGCTAAAGATATTGCAGCAAAGACATTTATGAAAAGAAAAAGAGCCCAGAAGACGTTCCCCAACCCAATCATCAGGCTCAAAAACCGATACCGACACTTAGTTCCCGGGCGCGTCGCAACCAGACACCACAGCAGAGCAAAGTAGAGCAGAACAGCCCGCTAAGAAAGACCTACCTTATGCCAATGCCAAAGCAGCTTCATGGCATACCATTCCAGAGATCCAACCCTGTCATGAAACAAAGCGAGGCGAATCGGGCTTGTCTTGTTGCCTTCAGACCATAACATCAGGCTAACGGTACTGCTTCGGGCATCCTATCTCAGGATAACCACTCCCAATCCTACTTGTTCCTACTGAAGCCTGCTTCTACCACTTCGTTAGGCGCTTTCTTCTCTTAAGATCTTTCGTCTTGGATGAACAGATCGCTCCGTCATACAGACGTTATCAACTATACGATAAACCAACTGAAAGCAAATCATCGAATAAAGAGAGAGACAAAAAGGAGAAAGTCAGAAGTGCCGGAGGCCAGCTCTACTGTATTCTTTCTCCGAGACGCAAGTGACCGGAAGTTGGACATAGAAAGAGAGAAAGGACAGTCTCAAGCATTCCGAAGGTATATTCTGAGATTCCTTTGTCTGACATAGAGAAGGAGGTAGCAGCAGATATGCGATAGTCAGATAGAAGGCATACAGAGCGAGTGGAACGAGTTTCCGAGAATAACCGAGATGCGACAAGAAGCTGCAACCTTTCCTTTTTGCTTAACGAATTCCGTTCTTTATCTACGTTCAAAGATAAAAGTGCTTTCTACCTTACCGTAGCCTTACCAAGGATGAGGATCCACTCTCTCTAACGGGGACTGAGTAGGCAATATCGGCACGTCACTCATTGTAGAGAGAGACAGGCTTTTGGGATTTTTTCCGGGGAAGGGTAGTGAGAAAATTATCCAACAATGAGATCTGATAGAAGAGTAAGGAATTATTCGATTCACTTCTCCCTAAAGAGGGAGCATATATGTAAAGGAAGGAAGAATAGGCGACCAAAGGCCGCTAAGGAAGGAGTGGTAGAAGCCAAAACTATATTGAAAGACTTTGATTTCACTTTGCTTCTGCCTGGGAGTAAAGAAATAGAGACGAAAGCATCTTATTGAATGAATCGGTGGAAATGAGCCCTCCCAAGGCCCTTTTTTGGCATATGCCTTATACTAATTTACAGTCCTTCTCTCTTCGATGCCATCTTATTCTATGTCATTTGTCCGAAAGCCGTCACCTTGTTGTTAAGGTATGAAGTGACTTTCCTTAGGCTTCGCACCTTTCCTGATGCCTGCGTAGAAGTGCAGTTGCTATTAAAGAAGATGTGCCATTGAGCCTATTTGCTATAGTGAATCTATCCCCTTCCCATGCTATATCTGCTGTTGAGAATCCTTTGACTTGGTATATATAAGAAATAACAAAAAGTCAATCAGTCTTCTTTTCTTTCTCCCCACTCGTCTGAAGCAAGAGATGGGCTTTATAGAATCGGGTGTCAAAGCTAGCTAAAAAGACTAGCATTCACTCTCCATCCTTGATTTAATTATATACGTTATTTGCAGTTCACAGCCTTATGCCGAAAATTTTCTTGCACCATAATCCTTCATCCCATGCTGCTTGACGGAATGCCTTAACGAACGAGAGTGAAGAAAGAAGGGCAAAGAATATCTTTCTTTTATCTTCATATTCTCGATAGCTAGTCGCGCATTCTTCCTCTTTGACTTTCCCTTTCGCGGTAGTAATGAACTCTTCTATTGGGGACCCCTGGACTCCGTATACGGCCAACAAAGAACAACTCCCTTTTCTTTCTCAAGCGAGTGAAGAACGAGTGGATGTTTTGAACGAGTGTTGAGCGAGTAAAGTGCCCCTGCCGCTATAAGGGCGAGCTTTTTGTATAAATTCCGTGAGCAGCGATTGAACTGAACGTTCCAAGTGCATCCAGCAGGAATCGAACCTACAAATTTTCCCCTTTTTCCTTTCTTTATTAGGTTGGGCGCTTTCACCATTCAGCCATGGACGCAAAAAGAATCCGCGAGTGAACTAGGTTTTGGTATTCCTTCTCGAGCTTCTATTTCTTCCGTGAAAGGAGATTCGAGAAAAGATAGAATAAGAAGACGTGTTTCCAGAACAAACAAGATAGGGGTTGAGAAGGGGGAGTTAGCAAAGTTAGACAAGATTGGAATGGGCATAGGAACATGTATTGATGTACCAGATCGACTAATGCTCCCAGGTTGATGCGACGTATTCCACCAGTTGACTGAAGACTTGATTATTGGTATATCGATCGGTCCAGCACGGATTGAAATAGAAGCCGGTTCGACAGGAAGCTTTTGAAAACACAGTGCACCCAGGTAAATAAGGAACAAGATAAATACAGAGGTTAAACGAGCATCCCACACCCAAAAGGTGCCCCACATAGGTCTTCCCCGAAACCCCCCGCTCACTAAGGTAAACAACGTAAACAAAGCACCCATTTCTATACCGGTTCCGGAAGAGCGAAGAAAAAGAGGATGTTTTGTTAATAAGAAGAAGAAAGTGTTTATAGCCGTAGCGATATAAAGAAAAATACTCATCCGAGCCGCAGGAACATGTACATACAGAATGCGAGAATTTCCACCTTGTTGAAGATCTAGTGGTGCTACCCGAAAACTTAAATGAATAGCCATCGCTGTTAAGAACAACCGAGATCCAATGAAAATTTGCGCATAGCTTCTGGTCTTTGACATCAAAAAAGAAGGTTGTAATAACGAAACGGACATGTGAGAATTTGGTCTGCGCTAGTGGAACAATCAAAATATGGATCTATATTCAATACGCAATCAAAGAACTTCTCAAAAAAACGGAGTTCTCACTAACAGTGGAAGTGATGGTACCCAGAGGTTGAAACTTTCTCAGATTCTCAACCTGACGGACCGCGAAAAGGCGCGTCAATATGGAAAAACTCTCGAGCCCGCACAAGCTCCTTATATATAGAGGAGCTCATTGCATTTTCACCAAAGAAATTTTTGAATTTGGCCTCCAAAACGGAGATTGTGTATTCCCCCTCCGCGGGGGGGCCGTAGATAGTCTCGTATCAATCGATTTCGGTTTTGATCCCAGAAGGGATTTCAATCTAATTGAGACATTCTATTGACGTGACGATTTGGCCCTGACGATCCACTATTCGTTCAATTTCTTGTTCCGAAAAAGTGGCATGTCTTTTTCCCAGGCGATGCACAATAAGCCTCTCCCTCATAGTCTTCTTCACAGAATCCAGATCGGGTTCTGGTTCTGGCGGAATAGCCTGGACTGGCTGGGCTTCTTCCCCATTTTCATCCGCGGCTCTTCGTCTACTCTTAGATCGAAAGACGTCCAACCCAACAGATCACTCTTTCTTCCCGACCTATTTGACTCTCTGGCCGCAGTTTTTTAGGTGGTATCCCGAGCTTTTTTTGAAGAGATCGAATTAGTTCCCGGAGCACACGAAAGAAAGATATGAACTAGGTAAATAGAAAAGGAAAAGAGATGTTTCAAATTCATCAAAATCTCCGGCTTTTTCTACATCCATATGATCCACTAAAGTAGATTGGTATTGCCCATATAATGAAAGCAGATCTTGGTCCATGGAGTCCCAAGAAGGTAAGAACTCCAACCTGTCCGATGCTTCTTCGGCTAAATAAAATATACAAGTGGGACCTGCACTATGAGCAAGCTGTGCGAAAAAACTGCTTCTTTTTTCGGTTTCAAAACAACTTGGGCGAAATAGGGTTCTACCGGGAAACCATAGATTTTTGAGTTTTCGCCATTGGTTACTAGTCAAGCCACTGGAATGGAATAAGATAAGAATCTCTGGAGATCTTTTCTCTCCACTTACTCGTAACAGGCTTTCCCTCTGTAGAAGACTGATTCCGAATGGCATAATTTTACAATTTCAACTGCCGCCTCGATCTTCAAAGAAGACTGACCCCTCCTGCTCCTCCTTCGTCAATAAATGTCCTACAAAAAATCTTTCCTCCGTCCCTCTCTTCTCTCTCCTGACCCCTCACTTTCTATATTATATATAGAAAATCTCGACTTATTCAGCTAAGCCGAACATTAGACGCAAATTGAACAATGAACACTTACTAAATATGAAAATTTAACCAGTCGCCGCAAGATCACTACTCCAAGAAAGTAGTTGAATTGATTGGGGAGTAAAGATTATGCGTCTCGGTTCGCATTGCTTTCATTTCCATTTTTCATTATTCATTCTATATTGAAAGATTTTTGCACAACCTGAGGTGCGACGCCTTTTTTTTTTCAAAGCGGAAAGCATTTTAGAGAGATCCTCAAGTGAGCACTCCCGATCTCTTTGTCGTCCCAAAAAGAACGATCTTCTAACGACTGACGAAAAATTCCATTCGTCTTTGGGATAAAGAGATTTCATCTCGGAAATTCTTTCATTGAAGAGAGGAATCAGCAAAGACCCCTTCTTCCTCTTGTATGAGTTTTTAGCCCCAAAAAGGCATTTTCGGGTTCCCTCTCGTCTACCACTACATTCTTGCATTCCAAAACCCTTGTAAACACCCCTCCTCAAAGGAACCATGGCAAGCTACTGGAACGAACCTAATTCAAGTGACAGACAAGAAAAGTCCCAGGACGAGAGACTCCCAAAGGAGATAAAAGACTTGGCACCTTCCCTTATTCTACTTCCTTTTCTGATCATGGCATTTGGGCCTTAACTTAAAGAAGGAGCTTACTCATATGAATGTGCAGCTGAGTCCCCTTGATTGATTCAATCCTGCTTGAAGTCAAGGTGAGGGGTTATTCGGTAAGAAGAGTAGCTTTCCGTCTTTCCATTCTTTATTCTTTCGCAACACATGGAATTGGATCTTTCCTGCTTTCAGGTGCGGATTTGCTCCCACTCACGGACAAAACGGATTCTGTTTCATGTCCGAGTAAGACTCATATGCCGAAAATCCTCTTCTCCGGTAAGAAAAAGCGTCTGCACGTGTCCCTGGCTTCCTTCCTCCTATAGTACCGTTCTTCTTTGGCATATGCCTCTTCCTTCTTTCAAAAATCGGATTCAATAGCTGTGGATTCTGTGCATCCATTCGTCGATCGGACATGAAGTATGCGAGTTGCTTCTTTCTTTAGATTATAGCTCGCTCTCTCAGTCCACTAGAAAGACAAGACAACCATAAAAGCCAAGAAAGAGCAAGTGTCGTGTGCATGGAGATCGTAGTCTCAATCCTAACCTCATAGCTTTTATAAGCAGAGTACTTTCACTATAACATTGAAAGGAGCATATCTTGCTTCGTCTTGGGAGCAAGCTAGGTCGTGCGATAAAAATGGATTCAAAATCTGCTGAATCCTCTAGGGGAAAATAGGTCAGGGTTTGTCTTGAACTAGACCTTACAAAGCCGGCTTGTCTCACATGTATGGGTCAATTCTCATTTGCAAGTGGTTGAGAGGCAATGAAATTGTTGATGCTACAAATCTGAATCTTCTTTTCAAGGTTACTGTTAGAATGCTCTCTTTCTTTCTTTCGTGCTTTGGGAGCATTAGCGCTGGCTTTTGGACGGAGTAACTAAGAGATTCCTCTGCTCTGGTTGCTGGTCTTAGGTATTAGAAAGCGGGCATAAGACAAGAGATAGAGCCAACCCAAGTGAAGAGTAGCATAGTCTATCTCCTAGCTACACATTTCTTTCTCAGATAGATAAAAGGGGCTAACCTTTCGTAAAGTCTTCTACCCTAGTCAGTCCTGTACGTACCAATATTCATACATTTCTTTGGCATTCAGTTAGAAAACAAAACAGAGTTCGCCCTTGGGCCAGTTAAGAGAGGCAGAGGGCCATAACCATTTCGCATACTGAGCGCTTCCTTTCTTGGTCTTGCGCATGGCATGTCTGACTTCCTAAGGATGGGATAGGAAGGTTATTACATATCCTTAAACAAGAAAAGAGAATAGAGCTGTGGCACTGAAGAAGCTCATGCCACCAAAAGAGAAAGGGAGATCCAGTAGATTACAGAACTTTGAGATCAGGAGAAAAGAGAACAACAAATCCACTGAGCAATGACGCTGCTATCGAGCTTATAAAAAAATCGTTTACACCGATGTATCGTACGAAATGACGGTTTTGATAAAAAAAAAAGAAAGAAGAGATGAGCGTAGCAAGCCTTACCAGAAAAAGCATGATAGCTCGCTTGATCCCACTGATCGCTCCGCTTGTCAATTCTTGGTGTAATACTCACTTGTCAATTCTTGGTGTCATAATTTTTCACTGATTAGGTGTGATCAGTCTCATCCATGTAATAATTAGGAATTCCTTTTTCAATTCGTCCTAGAATGGGCGTTATGGCAAAGAACAAGAAAAAAATCAAAGAAGAAATTTGTCCAATAGTCACAAACGGTGCCTCCACAGGTTGACATCCGATCCAACCTAGTAGTAAGCAATCCGCCAAAAGCAACCAAAAGATTCCTTGGTAAATTGGGCGAAAAGAAGAACTACGCACATACATACCTTTAAAAAAAGGTAAAGCCAACAGACATATAAAAAACTAATGCTATTGCGGCTACACCTCCTGATTTGTCAGGTATACTACGAAGAATGGCATAGATCGGTAGGAAATACCATTCCGGCACAATATGAGGCGGGGTGGACATCGGATTAGCAGGTATATAATTGTCAGGATGTCCCAAAACATTAGGAGCATAAAAAATCCAAATGGAAAAAAAGATAGCAAAAGCTACCCAACCTACTAGATCCTTTACATAAAAATAAGGGTAAAAAGCGATTTTATCCATATCTGAATGTACACCCAATGGATTATTTGATCCATATTGATGCAATGCAGCCAGATGAAGAAGACTGGCGCCTACTAAAATAAAAGGGAGTAAATGATGAAGACTAAAAAAACGATTTAAGGTGGCATTGTCCACGGAGAAACCCCCCCAAAGCCAAGTCACTATGGTATCTCCTACTACAGGTATGGCGCTAGCTAAGCTTGTAATTACTGTAGCTCCCCAAAAGCTCATCTGACCCCAAGGTAGTACGTATCCTATAAAAGCTGTTACAATCATTAATAGGAAGATTACAACTCCGAGACACCAAACAAATTCCCTAGGACTGCTATAACTCGCATAATATAGACCGCGAAAAATATGAAGGTAAACCACAATGAAAAACATACTTGCCCCATTAGCATGCATATAACGGAGCAACCAGCCCCCTTCAAC